AGGTCATACATCATATTCGGAGTAGAAAAATATTTGACAGCATAAAGACTTAACGAAAACTACTTATAGTACAAGGTAGTCACATAAAAATACTACACAGAACATAGATAGGAACACGGTTCTTTAAAACAAAGAAGGAAGTAACGTATCTCTTACTGGCGACAGTCACCCCCATGGTGAACCCTTAGTTCGGTTAGTTGACGTTCCATATCAAGTAGGTATCTCTCGTACACTCTCTGGTGTACTTGTAGCTCTATGACTTTCGCTCGGGTTTTCAGCTAGTGCTTGCAGCAGGGTCTCATGGTTTCTCTCTAATCTCCCGTGAGCATCTTCTAGATGAATGGTGCGGAGGGTATGCATTCTTGCGTTAGCGACAACTTCGGCAATCCGATGTAGGGCTGTTCTGCCCTGAATCTTATTTCGGGCCACTTTGCAGACCAAGATTGGCAAGATTCTGCGTGCTGAGACCCCATTGCTCAGGTCGTAAAAGTTTCGGTCGCCAATAAATGGCATGGGCTGATCTTGTCCTTGGCTCCATGTTTCCAAGCATTCCACCGACACAAGCGTCGGGCCATGAAAAGCCAGACGAGGGTTAGGAATTGGAAAGGGAGGTTCTCAGGGTAGGTTCTCAACCTCTGGTTCGGAATTAGCATCGTCTAACAGGTTTTCATCATGGTGATCATTCAAAGGGATAGGATTATCATTCTTTGGTTCTTCTCCAAACCAACCAGCTATGACTTCGTTCGGAAGATATTGGTTGCCGTGGGGATGGAGTCCAGCTATGTTTTCTATGCGAGAATTTAAGGGTATGAGAATAATTATCAGACGAACTATCTAGATAATTATTTAGAAAACCTTCATTAGTTACATCGCTATTTGTGAAGTGCATACTAGCTATGTGTAATTTAACGGGACAGACCTTCGAATAAGTGACCTTAACACCGTATTCACACAGAATAGGGGTGAAGTAAAAGTTTCACAGATTCTAAGTCTATAACATCCTAATTACATATAGCCTTAGTGTATCCACTTAGCAACTATCAACTTAGTGATGAAGATCCCGTTTTTAGTTCTCAAGTATAAAGTACTTATAGTAACACCAAATACTCCTATAGTATTTTAATTTTAATATTATGTTCTATTGCTCTCATTGAGGTAGGGTTGGTAAGATTTTAGTATTGTTGCAACTACCCAATTTAAACTTAGGCACATGCTAGTCAACCCTCGGATAATATAGGTGATCAAGCTATATCTTCCCAGTTTTGACCATATGTCTCTAAGCCCACTTGTGTTGCCAAACAATCGTAATTCTTTTGTACTGTTCTAGTGACACTGGTTTTAGTATGAATGCAGGCACGTATACTTACCTAAATATTTTATTATTTATTGTATAAACTCGAAATCAGTGTATTTTTAATCCCATTGTATTTATAGTTAGTATATCTTTTATGGGTTGATATACTCAATTCACTATAAACAATGCTCTGATACCAATCTGTCACACCCCAAAACCGAGAACGGCGGAAACGTTCTGGGGCGGAGGACGTCATGTAATGTATCACAACAAATGTAAAGTAGTAAATAAGCAACAACATCATCCATTGCATTAATAGTATAATTTTGATTACAAGTGTGTTCTTTCATAGTACAAGACAACATGATAACAAATCAAAATGAAAGACGAGCTTGACTACTCCGTCTTCTCTAAAACCTGGTCATCGTACCTGTCTGTCGGTGGCCTGAGAATACAAGTTATTTTGAAAGTGTAGGTCAGCATTTAATTTGGTGAGTTCAAAAGTATTTAATTTGATTAGTTGATATGAAAGACTGGTGAATGATTGATGAAACATTTAGTATAAGTATGAAAACTCTAGAAAATCCCATACTTCCTACTAGTATAAAAGTAGTCTTCTACCAAGACCCAAATGTTTTGAAAGTACGCATCACTTGAAAATGTGATGGTTTATCCCTGTTTAACTATTTTTATTATAAAACTCTAAAAGTAATAATATAATAACTTATGTTGTATCCTTTGGTACTAAGATACACACGGCGTGGAAACTCACCGTAAACAGATCAACCGTAGACATCCGTAGACGTGCATTTACCTCTGTTGCTAACAGCCGGGTTTAGGAATAGTTAGTCCCTTAAGTATACCTATAATGGTATCAACCTAAAACATCCGTAGATTGTTCATTTACCTCTGTAGCTAACAACGGTTCTAGGAATGGTTAGTCCCTCAAAGTATCCTTTGGTACTTGGATATAAAGTCCAATATATCTCGTCGATGATGTGATTGTATCACAAGGTAAAGATAGAAAGGAGAACTATATAACAGTATCTAAACATATAACATGTAATAGTAATTTGCCATATAATGTCTATGTAAAAGTATTCATGTATAAGTATTCATGTAAGACTATTCTTTCATTTAGCATGTAGTCTAGACTCATGAATGAACTGACTCTGGTGTAATTTCTTGTAGTAGGGATAATGTTTTGTTTACTCTAAACTATTCCTATAATAGTTTACTAGAATGTAATTGATGAGTGTCCAAGTAGGTTTATACACTCTTGCTACCCAAGAGTATCGGAACTACATTAACTGATGGAACATTTATGACCATATATGTATACGTGATATATAACTAATATTTAAACGACCTTCGGAGGAGTACCCGATATCCCACCAGACCACATCCAAATCGAAGAAAAGGAAACAGGGTGGATAGCCTTCCTAAGTCTTTTAAACATTTCTTATATAACTATACTTATAGAGGCATGCAATTTATAATATAAAAGCATAAAGAAGTTTTGTAAATCCGTTGAAAAGTCTAATAAAGAATTTGTGACTTGATGTCAGTTTATAAAATGATTGAAAGTATTTTGTTTGATAAGATAGTTTAAGTACACGGAAAACCACTGTTTGAAAACACCTTTGTAACCGAGTTTGAAACGAAGCTTACAGTGTGTAAGACAGTTTGATAACGAGCTTTAATTATGTAAAACGTTTAAGAAAGTCATTTGAAGTGATATGTTTAGTTTATACATGAACTACAACAATTTATAGTTTTAAAGATAGAATGCTATTGTAATATATTTTGTATACGGGAGTTCCCTATAAAGTTTATAAATCACATATGATTCTACTTAGTAAAAGTGTATAATAATCTTTATATATAACACCCGATAGTAGTCGTGTGTTTTACTTGTATCCCCCCCCCTAGAAATCATATAAAAGCGTTTAGAATATTTAAAAGTGTAGTTTATAGGGGTATGAACTCACTTGATTGATTGAAGAAAGCATGACGAAAACCGAGCAGAACTTCTACTCGAGAAAGCGGATCTCTCGAGATTCTCGGGAAATCTCTAGGGAGTCTCGCGAGTGTAAAACTTTCTTCCCACCTTGGATATGAAAACCGGGCCTTTGGGATGATTCCGAGGATTGAAACGCAGAGCTTCGGCGCTCGAAAGGAAGGAAATTAGCAATTTTGGCCGGCATCCTCGCATCTCTATTTATAGGGGTCTGAGAGGTTGCGTTACGCGGGGCGTACTAGAGTACGCGCTGCTTACTCATGCGTCATGCATAAGCGCATCCTCGGTCGAAACATTGGAGCGACGTGGATGAATCGGAGCCTAGCATCCGAGTACGCTGGGCGTACGAGGGATCAGACCGCTGACTCATTCTTCGGATAATACCGAGTTTTAATTAAATTTAAATTTTAATTAATTAGCAAACTTCAAAAATTCATATCATTCTCATACGAACTACGTTTTCGACTTTCTTTATATCTACGCGAAGGTGAGACTACGATCTACAACTTTCGTTTAGACTCCGTCGGCTAGTTTTGACTTTATTTTTAATATTATATTTTTAATAGGTTGGGACAGGAAAAGTCCGTTAAAGTTCCATAACTTCTTCATCCGACGTCCGTTTTCGTCAGACTTTTTGCCGTTGCGCTAGTATTGTTGAGCCCTTCCATTCTCATTTAGATTGTGTCGGCTAAAAGTCTCTCGATCTCTATTTCGAGTTTTTATACTACTAGAAAAATAGCCTTTTACGACGCGCAATCAATGACACGCACTAATAGAGGACCCGCATTTGTGAGTGCCCTAAAAATTGATGTCAGATTTCCAAAATATGAAGCATAGTAGACACGCATTTTTGCGTGCCAAAAATTAGTGTCTAATAAAAAAAACACGGAGGGCACCTTAAATAAAACGTGCGTCGTCTAGCTATGTCACTTTATAAATATTAATGAAACACGCGTTTCATCCAAGGGGGAAATGAAATCCAAAATTTAAAAAGCCCGCTTTGTTTCCACCGGCTGAAAACCCTAACTCATTCCCGCTGAAAACTTTCTTTCTTCTCTCTCGATTGTCAAACCTCCACCGCTTCACTTCCCACAAGTTCGCATCTTCGTCGCTTATTCATACAGAATTCAACAATTTCTATGGTTTCGATTATTGGGTAAGGTACAGGGAGGTGTAATCGTTTTGGACTCTTTACTAATTGACTTGAAATTGAACCCTAAAAACTCAATTCACACTTCAAACTTCTCTGATCCTCTCTTCTTCCACTCCCCAATCTCCGATTCCACTCCAATCGAGCTCTATGGAGGCTTTGATTGGTGGTCATCAATTTGCACCATCACCTCCTTGTTCGTTCCTAAAATAAAGACCTTAGAACAGTATCCACTCCCCAATCTTTGATTCCACTCTAATCGGTTTGTCTCTTAAAAATCAAATCATTCATTAAGGTGTACTTGGCCTTGCTATGTATATCCTTTTTTTTGAAGAGAATGGATCGGTTGTGCTTCAGCAAGGAGTAGATCGCCTCATAAATTCAATAGGTATTGTTCTTGGTCTTGTATGTGTTGAATTCTCGATTGCTTTTTTAATCTGGTTTCCTATCACGTGAAACTTCCAATTTGCCTCTATAATCAAATAAAGCTTCAATTAGAGATATTATTCGCTAGTTACTAATCAGATCTGATCCATATGATTGCTAATGGTCATAGCATGGGCGGATTATGTATAGGGCCAGGATGGGCTTTGGCCCCCTGGTATTTGGGTTAGAAATAGCAAATATATCTTCAAAAATTTTAATTATAGGCCTGTTAGTGTAGAAATTGGGCTTTGCCCCTCCCGCTTTCAGTCTGATTTCCAAAGCTAGCGACAAGAAGTCAAAATCGATTTGTATCTCACGTTCTTACCCAGTTCCTCCCCCATCGTCGCTAGTCGCTACCTCCTTACCTTGCTCAGTCGCTGCTCGTTGGTCTTGCCATTCACCACCACAACAGCTGTCACCGGAAATCAGGTATGTTCTTCTCCTGTTCTCCCGTTCTCTCAATCTCTTGGATTAAGCTCTTCTTGAAATTGGAATATTAGAATTAGAAATTAGAATTTACAAATCTGAAAATTTAGTAAAGCTCCTGCTGTGGCAAATCTGAAAATTTCATAAAGCTTCTTGAAATTGGTCTCGCCATTCACTACCCTTCTATCACTTGAACTTGTTGTTGCATCTGGTGTTCCATGTTGCAGGTGTGTTATATCTTTGTTCAAAATTGAATTTCACATTCTAAACTTCCTTTAGAAAATCTCATACGGGATGTTCTTAATAGAAGATGTGCTCCTTATGATTTCATTAGCCTTCCACACAAGGTCAGTTTAGGACATAAATTATGCTATTATTTTCCCTTTGATAGTGTTTATAAGGTCAGTTTAGGACATAAATTATGCTATTAATGAAACAGTTGATCTTTGCCTTAATAAATTCCATAAAATTTGTAATTAATAGTTATCTCAATTCATAGATGCAACATTATAAACTCAGGTGGGGACAATGGCTGGAGGAGCTGCAGATTGTCAGTTTGGCACAGAAATTTAGGCATTAAGGTATTAAAATCACCTTTTTACATATCACAACCTTCTACTTTGAAATATTCTACGCAATATTTGTATTTTTTTTAATTTCAGTGTTGTTTGCATGAATTGGCAAACAAGAGTAGGATTTCATTGACTGGCGCTTCAAAGATGCTTGCCAACATTCTCTATTCTTACCGTGGGATGGGTTTTTCTGTTGGGGCAATGATTGCGGGATGAGATGAAAAGGTCAATATAATACAATACCCTTTATATGTATATCATGAAAATATTAAAAATGAAGGGCAAAACAGTTATTTTATGTCTGCGTTACTTTTTTTTTAGGGCTCTGGTGTGAATTATGTAGACAGCGAAGGCGGACGTCTCAACGGAACTAAATTCTACGTGGGATCTGTTTCACTGTACTTTTTTTGTAGGGCTCTGTTCAATCTAAAAGAAGCGTTCTACTTGAACTGCAACAAAGATCCAGAAAATTTGATTCTATAATTGAAAAGCATCATAATATTAGGTATGGAACTGTGGATAGTAATTTTGATAATTTTTAATACAAAAGATTGAAGTGAAGTAATTAGTAATGGTATGTGAAGCTTTGCACTGGTTGAAAGGATGCCAGTTCTTGATGAAGCAAATTTCAGTAGAAGGAGGAATGGTTCTACTTCTATTCCTTCAACTTCAATGGGAAGTAGTGTTCCTAATGGAGTTATTAAAACAACTGCTGCTCCTTTAGTAGACTTGCTTGATTTAGGAGGAAGAGAAGAACCTCCTCCACCAAATACAAATAGCATGATGACAGGTGACAACTTTCTTCAAGATCTTCTTGATGTTGGAATGTCCCCTTCTTCATCACAACCAGGTTAGCTTTAGATTCAAATCATATAAGTTTGTTTCTCTTGTTGAAAATTGAAATCATATTCTTGTGTGTGTGTGTGTGTATATATATTTCATAAGTAACATATGGCATTTTTACTTTTGTTTGTTTCAAATTCAGTTACAAATGAAAACCAGGCTAAAAAAAGTGGCATAGATGTTCTACTAGATCTAGCTATTAGGCTTTCTACAACTGTAGTTGTTATTAACTTTGATTAATCAAATAAAAGACAAGGTATCGAAGCATTCTCTTAATTTTGATTGCTTTTTGTCTCATGATTATGATTTACATCATTAACTTTAAAGTTTTTGGAAGTTTAGTTTAATTATCTTGAAGATAAAATCATGAAGTATTCAAAAGCCATGGTTGCATCTTAGCTTTATGAGGAACCTGTTGATCCATCGGTTGCTTCCCAAGTAATTCCTATCTCTATTTTATTAGAATTATTCTTTTTTTTTATCATCTTTGAAGAGATTCAACAACACAAATTACATCTCTTGATTCCCTATCAGAAAAGTATATTTGCTGTTGGCATGATTTGCTGTGAAGAAGAAGGGCGTTTAAAGGAAAAACCAATCATTCTTCAAAGCAGGTAATATTTGTTGAATCTTTATGCTCTTTTCAGACATATTTTTCCCTTACTGTTGTCCTTTTTTACTTGTTTGAACAGAGTTGAGCATTCTGGAGGTCAACGTGTGTGCCTTGACTTACAGAAACTGGACCAGTTTTCCTTTTTCCCAGGCCATGTAGATAGTTAAAAAATGGAAACTGATAAGAAAACATTTAACATAAACATAATTCGATAGGTGGCAGGCATTGAAGGACATAATCGTGGGCACAATGTAATTGCAACAAATATTGTTGATTATGTACCGTTATCAGTCCCTGATGATGAAAATATTCCTCAAAAGAAGAGACAAGCTATGGATGAAAATAACAAGCCTGCTGATTTATCTGATATAACATCAGATCTATCATTAGTGTGTAAAGCTTGTTCTTCAATTTACTAAAGTACCCTTTTAAGTTTACTATCTGGTTTCTCTCTGATTCTATCCATGTCATCTTTGAGCAGATTATTGCTTCAGGGCCTTACATCGTCTATACAAAGGGACCAAAAGTGTAAATTACTCTAAGTATTGGATGACTAAGAAGTTTTAGAACTGTATCTTTTGATTGTGCAACTTGCTTTTGATATGAATATAGCTGATCAAGATTGAAAGATAACTTACATTACAAATCCATGAATGATCTCAGCAAATAAGGTAAGTGTTGTTATTTGGATGATATTTAAAAATGTAAGTTGAGAAATTTTAATAACTGAGTGGTGAAAGTAGGATGCTGTAGTGTGGATGTCCTGAAAGAACTTAGTATGGATGTAGTGTCACTTGGGATCAAGAATCGCATGAATAAACTAACAAACCATATGCTGAGTCGACACATGCATGTTTTCAAAATTCGAATAATATTTTACTTTTTTCTTTTTTCTTAATTTAATATTTTTACGTTTGTGACAACATCTTTTATCCTCTGTACCCACCCGTGGAAGACACTCCTGTGGACTTTTCGCTTGCTCCAAAAGCCCCTTCAAAATCGTCGATGGTCCCGCTAGCTCCGCTGTCGGAAATCCAGGTATTTCTCACTTCATATTGATACTGAATTGAATTTACAACCCCTGTAAAAGCAAAACTATTTATACTATGATCACAATTGATCGGATTCTTTTTAATGATGGATTGATAATAGTCTTTCTAATTCAGTCACTGCTGCATTGGATAAACAAGAATTTACGTGTTTTTCTAGCTATGTTAACAGATTACATTGTGTGTAGATGTTAATTAGGTTTTATGATCGAATTTTGCATTTTGAGTTTTAAAGTTAACTGCTTACGATAAATACCTTGTGAAACTGCTGTAAAAACAAACCGTTACTAAACAAATTGGAGATTTGTTTTTTTATAATCCATAATCACATAAAAGAATTGCAAAACACATCTGATCACCTGCACAGATTGAGTGTAAAGATGAAGGATTATGACTTCAGTTGTGCTTGTTCAAATGCTTTCAGATGAAATTGCAAAACTTTTCCCATCCCTGTTTGGGCAACCATCAGCAATATTGGTGCCAGGTGAATCTAATGAATCACAATCTGCCTTGAAGATAGGAGTTGTGTTGTCAAGAGGACAAGCACCAGGAGGGCATAATGTTATATATCTGGGATTTTTGGTTAGCATTTTGAAGGACTGACTAGTAAACATCAGCAATATTGGTTCCAGGTGAATCTAATTAGTAAAGAAAGTTGAAGGATTGACTAGTAAACATAAAATTAGAATGAAAATGACAAGTGATTTTGTGTTGTGTTTACAGGGTTGACGAAATAGCTCTCGAGTTAGAAGTGGAAAAGAAAGCTCAAGCCGAAAGAGATAAGATGCTGAAAATGCAAGTGTTGTATTCTTCATTTCAATTGTTAGTATGAAACATAGAGTAGATTAGATGAATGCAAATTTATATATTGTAAGAAATAGAATTGTATGACATTAAAGTTTATTCAATGGATTGTATTCTTTTGTATATGGTATTTTATTTCTATTATGACACATTAAATGCAAATTTAATTTAAAAATTAATAAATATATAAATATATATATTTTTAAATATTTAAATTTACAATACGCAAAAATGTGTGTCATCTTCATTTATGACATGGCCTTTCTTGACAAGGGCTTTCTTGATATGCATTGCGTGTCATTAACACGCGCGTCGTAAGGTTACGACACGCGAATGCGTGTCGTCTTCCTTTATGACAGGGCCTTCCTTGATACGCATTGCATGTCGTAAACGCGCGTCGTAATTGCGCGTCGTAAATGAGCGTCGTAAATGCGCGTCGTCTCTCTTTATGACAGGGCCTTCCTTGACGCGCATTTGCGCGTCGTCTGAGCCTTTTACGACGCGCAATGAGCGTCGTAAAAGGCTATTTTTCTAGTAGTGTTAGTTGTCTACTGTTATATCTGTAACTAAGAAAAATCACAAATTCCTCATACGAAGTCAGATTTGGACGTTCTATTTATGTACGATTACGTTTTGATGATATCTAAAACTTTCATTTAGATACCTAAGGCCAAAAACTATTATATTGAAACTTCGTGTTTTACATTTATCAGTATTGTCGGTTTTGCCGAGAATCTTCGGTTGGTCATAACTTCTTCGTTATAACTCGGATTTTAGGGTTCCTTATATGTATGAAAACCTTGACACGATTCCTACTACTTTATTTAACCCAAATAAGATTTTTGGAAAGTTGAATTTTGACCTAAATTCGACTTGCGTTCCATCATATTGCCTCGAAATATAGGGTTGTCACAGGATTGCTTCTAGACATTTTTCCAAGGCCATAGGAGTTGTTTGTGGGCATTTCTAACACTTGATTTTGAGTTTACTCCCCATGAAGAGGAGTTTACGGCCCAAGCAAGTTCTTGGCCAGTAAACTCAAGTTTACTCCCCAAAATGTAAGTTCAATGTGTTCTAAGTTCATTTCCATAAGTCATTTATCCATATCTAAGCCTTAGGGGTAGTTTAGAAGGGTTTTGGGGCTTAAAACCCCCCCATTTAATGGTGTTTACGGTCCAAGAGTGTCCTTGGGCCGTAAACACATGAATTTACCCCTATTTGATGTCTTAAACACGAATTTGCATGTTAGCTAAGCTATACAACAAGTTAGGGTAGATTGCTTACTCGTTTGGGGCTCGAAACGGATGATTTTTGGCTTGAATTTAAGTTGTAGAGAGAGAGAGAGAGAGAGAGTGGGGAGAGAGTGAAAAGGTGGAAATGGAGTTTACTCTCCCTTATATAGGGGCTTGAATTGGGTCTTAATAAAAATCTACCCGATACCGCTGTTAAACGGGGCTTTTGGGTGCACCCGATTTAGTTGTTGAATTTTTGACTTGGTTGAAACTAAAATTTTTCAAAGGAAAAATTTGGGGTGTTTCTAATTTACTTCAACCCTTACCAAGTCATTATAAAAGTCCCACATTAAATAACCAGTCCAAAAGTTAACAGACAGTTAAGTAAAATGAGGCTTATGAATGGAAAAAGGGGTTAAATATGACGGAAATAAATTTCGGGTTGTCACATCATCCCCCCGTTAGAGGGAATTTCGTACCGAAATTCAGGTTTAGGCAAGGAAGTAGGTTTGAATGACCGAGTAAAGGCACGAGGTTACTTCCTAGTCGGTTTGCCTTGCACTCCCAAGTGATCTCTGGCCTGTGTCTGTCATTCCAACAAACCTTCACCTATGGGATGAAGATTCCGTCTCGTGTTGTTAGCGATTTCCTACAGGTATGTCTACGAAGTTAGGA